TCATCCCTGGAGCAAGCCCCTAATGCACTGAGGCACCGGCAGTGCTGGGAATGGGCTGCCCTCCCTGCCAGCACCCTGAGGGGATGCACATGAAGGGGAGCTTTCCTGCAAGCCTGGGCTATACCCAGATTCTCTGGATATGGGAGTCAAAATCCAACCCTTTGAATTGGCTTTTAACACTATATACATATAAAATATATATGTTTATATATATATAATATATATATATATATTTTTCTCCCTCTCTGGCCAGACTGAAGCACCTGTACATGCAGAATAATAGGAATAAGGCAGCACAGCCTGGGCATCCGGACATTCCTTCTCTATCCGGGCTCGGAGGCCGCCAGGGCCCGTGCCGGCTCCGGCCGCGGCGCGGTGGCAGCAGAGCCGCCTGCCCGGGTCCGCGCAGTTTAATATCCCGGCCAGTCACCTCCAATCTGTGTAAACACGAGGCCGAAGCAAAGGCTGGAGGCTTAAGTGAAAAATTGTCTGCTTTTTAGTGGGATTAAAAATAGCTCGCTAGCTGCCGGGCTGGCGCTCGGGGCTTGCGGCTGAGCTGATAACGGCGGCGCCAGAGCCTGTTTTCCTGCCTCTGGAAATTGTTTGATACCTGGTTCTTGCAATACCAATAAAAGCCTTTTTTTTGCTCAGATGGTATTTTGGGGGAAAGGCAGGGAACAGTTTCAAAATTGATTCATTTCCCCGCCAGAATCTGCCCTAGAAACCCTGCAGTTTTCCACTGCATGAGGAACATGCTGCTTTTGCTTCGCTTTGGAAGTGAACAACCTTGTATTTCCATTCCTGAAGGCCAAGAAAGAAACGCCCCCACAAACAGCAGTGTTTGGTGCCAAAGGGGGGATCCCTTCCCTTGCCTTCCCAGCATGAAGAAAGACCAGGATCTTCCCTAGTCCTTTCCTTCCCGTTCCTGCAATCACCATCAGCTGCAGCAATGCTGCTCCAAAGCTCTCCTGCAGCTGCAGCAGCTTTGCCAGAGATTTGCTTGCTCCTAGGGAATAAAAGCACCTGTGATCCCAGAGACTGGGTAGTTCTTGGATGGCTATGCTAGGTCTGCATCCTTGTGGGATACATGCATCTCTGGGTAAAGGTAGTTAGGGGTGCAGAGATTTTTAGGTGAATTTTTTTCCCTTTTTTTTTTTTTTTTTTTTTTTTCTG